CTACAAAACACCAAAACTACCAACATAAAAAGTCAGCCAGTCCACAGTTCTATTTCCATGATTCCCAAGCACTGGTTGGACGGCGTTTTAATGAGCTGGTTAAATCAGTAACTTGTGTTTATGCTGTAGTATAAAGGGTGGGAGTGGCTTCTATAGAAACTGGGGAGCGAGGGTCTAGAACATTGTATCTCTTATTCAGAAAAGGGCTTTGGAAGGTCTCGAAAGGGCCAATTCAGGAAGGGTTCATGAGTCTCCTGGACCCAGGGATAAAACAAACCTTGCTGATTTAGACATTATTGATACTCATCCCCAGCAGCAGTCAGTAATGGAGCCTTTCCAGCCACCACAAGCACAGATATGGATCTGGAAGGACCCGGGGGACACATCTGCATCACAGTGGTCTCAGTGACCGGGAGAGAACAGGCCAGTGGTGGAAACCAATGGCTCCTTCATGCAAGAGACCCCCCTGGGTAGCTCAGACCACTTTCAACCGAATTCTGGACAGTTGGTGGTGAATGACTCTTGTTCTTGAGACCTGAAAACAAATACCAGTTTTTCATTTTCTTTTATGGACTTCAGATCTGAGGCAATATGAGAAAATACAAGCTGTTCTTATCAAGGTACTTTATCCCAAGAGTAAAATAATCCACAAAGAAAGAACTGAATGCGGTTACAGCCAAAAAGAACATCATACTGTTGATTTTTTTTAACCCAACAACGGAACTGCTTTATGACCCCACCAATTCTATTTCTGGGAATATATCCAAAGAAACCTGAAACACTAATTCAAAAGAATATATTCACCCCTATGTTCCCTGTAGTGTTATTTACAATAGCTATGGTCTGTTTGGGGGCAGCCCAAGTGCCCATCAGTAGATGAGTGGATAAAACAGTTGTGGTACATTTATGCAACGGGACACTACTCAGCCATAAAAAAAGAAGGAAATCTTACCTTTTGTGACAGCACGGATGGACCAGGAAAGCATTATGCTCAGGGAATAAGCCAGCCAGACCAATACAAGTACCATATGCTTTTTCTTAGATATAGAATCTAATGAACAAAACTAAACTAACAAGCAAAATAGAAACATCATAAATACAGAGAACAGAATGATAACTGTCAGAAGGGAGCAGGTATGGGAGCTGGGTAAAAGGTGAAGGAATTAAGGAAAAAAACAAAACCTCAGACGTAAACAACAGTGTGGTGATGACCAGAGGGAAAATGGATTGGGGAGTAGAAGAGGGTAAATGGAGGGTAAATGGTGATGGAAGGAGACTTGACTTGGGGTGGTGAACACAGAATACAATATACAGATGATATGTTACAGAATCGTACACATTAAACCTATGTAATTTCATTAACCAACATCCACGCCCCCTCCCACCCAAAAATTGAATTAAAAAAAAAAAGCAAAAAGTACAAACTAGTCGGACCCAGGCAATGTCTTACACTAAATCTGTGTGCCCCATACTGCCGTATGTGTAGAAGGTTTAATACACACACACACAGGATGATGAAACGCTTGAGTGAAGATTGTATCTCCTGGAGAACAGTAACTGGTTATGTCACTATATCCCTAGAATAGAGCTCAGTCTCTGGCACCGAGTAGGCACCCAGGAAAGTTGTTTACTAAATGAGCAAATGAATGAATGGGTGTTGTACTGCATTGTGGTTGAATCGAACCAGTCACAGATGCAGGCAATACAAAGAATACGCCAGGCCCAGACCCTGGCTAACCCAAGTCCATGTGTTATGCTCTGAGTATGCTCTCACAACCCTGAAAATAAATATTTTAAAGCAAAAACCTGTAGAGTAAGTTGGGACGTTTCTCACATTTGCTCAGTACAACTGTGGCATTCTCCATTGTGTTAATGTAACAACGAGTGGCTTTACCTTTAGAGCCACTCCTGTTACCTCCTTCTTCTCTCCTCTCCAAAATAAGGTCATGTTCACAGGCTTCTTTGAACTCTACCATGACATTTTCTCAAAAACAATCCTTTCGCAGTGGGTTGATCAACAATATTAACTAGCGGTTCACTTGACACATACTGATGCTTAGTTCCATCAGTAAAGGGCTGTATTCTTTCCTACATTCCCTCTACAAACATGTAGACATTAAATGCAGGAGATGCAGTTGTGAACAAGTGAGACATGGAGTTGCCATCCTAGGTTTGGTGCGGGATTTAGGTAAGTAAATGGAAATAGTCTTAGGTGCCACGCAGCGACAGGAATGATGTCAGGTGGGAAGACAGGACACTGGAGACACCCAGCGGGGGCTGGAGGGACTGGAAGTCTCAATAGTGAACCAGGTGAGGGAGACGGGGAAGGAGACGCTCAAGTCAAAAAATAGCGCCTCTGCTGCTCGAACATCCTCTGAAGGCTCCAAATTATTCTGCCTTCTCAAATTGCCCTTTGAACTTCATTGAATTCAAAGGCTCTACTTTTTTTTAAAGTGTAAGGATACCTGGGACTTCAAAAATGGTTTTTGCTGATGCTTAAGGTAAATGGAAACTATTGCCAATTTCTGTTTTAAAGGCATTAACCTTCATTTGACCTCAGTGCTTAGGATTAACATTTAAAATCTCACGTTTCACTCTTCCAATGTGCACCCGTTTGGCCTATTGTTCTGCAGCTGTTACCCAGGCTTCTGAGCACCTGGCACGGTGTAATGAGTTATTGCAGGGATGTACATGACACAGTTTTTATCACATTTTCAATGTGAGAGAAACGTATTTATTCCTTTTACAAGAAGCATGAAACCTGTTCACTTTGTTTTTTAATGGAGGTCCTAGGGCCACCTATAGCCATATCTTTACCAACATCTATTTTGACTGCACTGCCAGGAATTTGATCTTAATTTCTAAAATAAGTATTATGTGCTAGATTCAACTTATTTTTCTCTCATCATTTATCCAGAGAATTTTATAGAGCACTCTCTGAGGGTTAGATGCTATACTTCGTTATTCCAAGAATAATGCTTTTAATATAGTTATGTGCTTTATAAATGTTAAACTAAAAACATAAGAATATACTAATCTCTTAATATATTCAAGCTTAGAATATTTTAAATCAAGTGTAATTCAAAATCAAATCAAGATTTTTCTCAGAATACAAAGTCAGATGTAATATTCCAGTGGATTAAAAAAAATGCCAAAATGCTATTTGCTTTACTGCACCGACATGAGAAGTAAATCAAGTTTGTGGAAAAGTATAAATAGGTAAAAATAAGTTTATCCTTTATAAAATCCAGTCAATCCCAGTAGATATTTTTATACTTACTGTCAACCTTCTCGAGCATAGTTTCCTCATCTACAATAGTTCATTCATTTGTTAACAAATATTTGCTGAATGCCTACTACGAGCCAGGCATTGGCTTAGGCTTTGGAAACACAGTATGAACAAAACAGCTGCGATTCGTTTTTATGGTGCTTATATTCTAATGAAGGTCATAATACCTATTGTCACATAGAATTGTTCAGAAGACTGGATGTTATTGTAGCTAAGTACTTTGTGAGTCACAAAGCGCTATATAAACCCAAGGTTATTGAATGCGATGACTTACTCCTCTTTTTATCTCCATAACTCAGTAGGTTTTAGAAATGGTGACCTTGAGCAGTGTTTCAACACTGCCACATCTGACCACTAGAGGGCCTCAAAAGCCCTACCCAACATTAATCCATTCCGTTTACTATATTCCTTCATTCCAGTGTGATAATTTGTGAGGACACTTTAGCAAGAGACATTTGAGAAAGTTAGTCATATAAAATAAAATGTATTATGTGAAAGACACATATAGTAAAGGCACATTATAGCCACAAAGGGTTAATTATAATAGATAACATGCCATGAGCCCACAAATCATGCAGTATTGTACTGTTCTTGGCTGAATACAGATAATTAAGAAATATTATATATTAATGTTTTATCACTGCAGTCTTTTAGAACAAACCACTTCAGCACCATACATAATTCTTTTAAGATAAATCAACATCTACATTGTTTTTAATGGCTGCATGGTCTTTTATTTTGTGGTCATACCAATATTAATGGTGTGCTGTGATTAACATACTCTAGCTAAACCTCTACACATACTATTTCCTCGAGATCAAGTCTTATTGTGCTTTTCTACAAGAACAAAACAGTATGTTTGTAGGATTTACTGGTAAAAGTATTGTTAGTATTTTTCTAATATTCCCTGGAACCCCATAAAGTGTGTTTTTTAAATTTTACATTCACAAATGGTTAGGCAAATTTAATAAAACATTGTCTAAGTGGTATTTTTATGTTTGCTTTTTGGAAATATCACAGAAAGTACATATTGCATTGACCGCTTTTTATAACGGCTCTGATCATGAATTCAGGAAAAAATAGTATTTCAAGACTAATCTCACTGTATTGAACTTGCATTAATACAGAATTATAAAAATGGAAAATTCCTACTACCAGGAGCTTTCTATGAACATAATACTTGTGTGATCAATAGAATTCTGCTTTAATACCTGATAAATTATTTCTATTATCTCAGAGATTAATAAATATGAGTCTAGACAAACTGAGACTAACTTCTAGCAGATACAGTGACTTGGAGATCAAATTCTGTTCACCTAATGGCAAAACCTGACTATCTCCTGGTGCAGTGATGTCAATTCCACAAGCATAAGGAGGCTATCTTAAGTAGCAATGACATTAAAACTATTCTCAAATCATAAATGCTTCACACATGCAGTTTCTCATATGAACCAAGTCGTTGGAACATATTCAGGATGCACAAAAAAAGCAAACAGAGTTTGGTATATATGTTTACATTTTAATATTTGAGAAAATATGAGTCTTATACAAACATTGCTGGCATAAGGAATTACACAAAATTGTATTTGGATAGTCAGCATGTGAACTTGGTTGTAAGAATGTAGCACAATGTAGTAACAGCTTCTTATGGAAACCTTTTAAACAAGCAATAGATTCTGAAATCAGAGATAGAGTGAAGAAGAACAGTAATTTATTTCTCAAAATATTTCCTGTATCCACTAAGAACTGTAAACTCACTATGAGGAGAAAAGTTAGACGTAATCTAATTTATTAAGGCACTTTGAAGATATAAGCCTTAAATACCTAATGTAAAAATAATCATAATTTTATGTTCCTCTGAAGATTAATTTGATATATTAGTCATGTTAAAAATTTATACCAAAAAAAACCCTTTATTTCATTTTTTTTTGAAAATACACATTATTTCTTCTGGTTACTTCAGTAATTTAAGCTTAATATTAACTTATTAAATACCAAACACAGAAATCTTTATAGTCTTGCACTATTATTGAGAAGTAAAAACTTTCCAACTTCAACAATATTTTTTTAAGTCGTGAAAATGATTAGAGACAGTAGCTCTTCTTTAATAGTACTTTAAAATATACTTGAACAAAGTATCTGTCAGGCATCGTGTACTTCAAAGAAACCTTCAGTTTGGAAGGGTAAACCATACATAAATAAAAATTCATTCAACACAAATGTAAGTGAAGAGATTTCCTACTGATGAAGAATAAGGCTACTTATAAATGAATTTCTTAATTTTTCAAAAAATAATTCTTGGAATCTGTGCCAGATAATCTGTGGGATACTCTATTCCTGGTGGCTCCCAACACAAAAGTTCACATATTGTGAAATATACTTGGATTCATAGGTTGGCTATAATATCATTTACTTTTTTTTTACATTCTAGAGGTTACTGATACAAAAGTAGTGTTTCGTCTTATAAGGAAATAAACTCCTTCTTAAAGGTAAAATTCTTCCTCTCTGAAACATGTGTTAAATATTTCTGATCACCAAAAATATAAAGCTTCTAGCATTTCTTGAACATTGACTTTACATTCCAAAGTTGAACATATGATCTCTCTCAACACCCAGATCAACAGCAGAACTAAACCAAATATTTGGTGAGTGTCTCTTTTAAAAAGAAAAGCATCAGTTATTCCAAAAATTAGCTTGCATACATCTTTGATTTTAACTAGGTGCCTCAGACAAAAGATCACTTCATCTTATACAAAGTTTTCTTGCTTTATAATCTATAGAACATTGGTAGCCAGCTTAAAATGCTTATTCTCATTGCACATTTGTATAAACCATTATTTTGCTTTACAAAACACATTACAGTTTAAAATAGAGAATCACAAGCCTCAATATTGAATAACCTGTGATAACTGATAATACTGTACAGTTATTAAACATACCCCAAGACTTATGAAAGTAATATTTAATACTTTTTAAATATTCACAATCTCTTCATCCATTTACAAACACCATCTTAGACTGATGGGCCTATGCAGTCATACGTGATCTGGATATGTTCCCTGGAGAATCTGACTACAGAGCAGAAAATGCTGCGTATATACTATTACTTGCCATTGCAAAACTGAAGGCAACATGATTTTATAAAAGGAAATTAATGTAGCTGGAAGAAGCTAATTGAAACTGATATTGTGCCATCTAAAAAAATAACCACATGATAGAATTTTTATATAGCACCTTTCAATACAGAATACTTATTCTAAGATTCTTTATCATCTTAATTTTAGAATTGTTAAAATGTAATTCTAATGTTAAAATATATTAATGTAAAAATTCATATCTGCTCTTGTAGGAAATTACATTAATAAAAATATTTTAATATCCTAAAAGCTACTGAATTGGTTTCCCCTTTCACACTGCACAACACCCATCTAAAGTACAAGCTGTAAATTCTTACAATTAATATGAAAAATCTTGTATTTTACCAAATTTCAGATGACATTTGAAAATACCTCAATCGGCTTTCTTTTTTTTTAACCAAAAATACTGATAACAAATTATTACCAATGTTAATAAGCCAGTTAAAAAATCAGTTCCCTCTGATTTGGAAAGTTGAAAGAAAAGTAGCAATTTTACCAAACCCAGAATAACACCAACATAATCAGCAGCAGCCACTGGTGCTTAACTTAGTATTGTTTGATCAGACAATCACGATCAGAAAATTAAATTAGGTGCCTTTTGTAAGATAAGTGCCAAACCGTTTTTTTTTTTTTTTTTACTAAAAAAAAAAATCAGTAACTAATATTAAGAGCACCACTGCTGCTACTAGCAGGCATGTAACATCTCTATATAAATATAAACCTATACTTAATACATATTCAAAATAAAGCCACTGTAGTTAAAAGTTCTAGTAGTGTTATTTGACTTTACATTTCCCTTAAAGGGCAGACATTAGATTCTATGGACTGAAAATCAGATAAATGTCTATTATTCACAAGAACCGTGTGGTGATTTTACCACTACCTGCCTCCAAAGGGTACCTTCCAGTGAATTCAGATCCTAATTCGGACGAGCCCTCTCCTTACCGCTCCTACCTCTATCCCAGCCTCCAACCCCTATACTGTTGTACTCAGTGCCTGCACCTATTTGGAGAAACCCAAATAGAACCTTTTAACATGTGAAGCTAACACATTCACTTTCTTTTCTGTTTCCTTGAACTGACACGGTTTTATTTACTTTCTAGGTTTCTTACTTCCAGTCATAACAAAATAATGGTCATCGTCTTCCTTTTTCTTTGCAGTAGGTTTTTTATCTCCACTAACGGCTTCCTTATCAGATGAGGGTGGTTTCCTGGTTGAAGCTGGGGCTTTGTCACTTTTGGGAGGTCCTCTGGCTGAATACTGGCTCTTTGTGGCAGTCTGTGCTGCCTTTGATACAGTGTGCGTCTTTGTAGAAGACTGAGGAAGGCTCATGATGGACAGTGGGGTACGACCAGGGGACTTTGGGGAGCTGAATCCTGTCTTCTGGGATGTACTTATATTCTGAGGCTGCTTTTTGACAACTGAAACTATATTCTTATCTCTTGATGCCTGTGTTTTTGCAGCAGCAACTGAGGATACAGGAAATGGCTGGTTTAAGGTCAAGGCTGACTTAAGCTTCTGTGCTGGCACTGCCCCTGCTTGCGGGGCTCTGTGAGATGGCTGAGGCTGTGTTCTGAGTCCTGCAGTTATTGTTTTGGAGCCAGATTTAGTCATTTTTGCAGGGGACTGGTCAGAAGGAGAAGGTGTAGGTAGCTTTGGACACTTTGATGAAGAATTTAAATGTACAGCTGAGTGATAAACAGCATTATCCCTGAAAGATACATGATTATGTTTCAAATGCTTTGGTTTGGTTTTTCCAGAACACTTATTTGATAAACACGTAGACTCAGGCACATCTCTTGATTTCTGGGCTGGAATAAACTTGGCCTTTGGAGTACCAGGTGATGAGATACATTTACTTAATGACTCAGATACACAAGGTGTAGTTCTTGATAAGGCTGGTGAAGAAGTGCTTTTACCTCCTGGATTTAAAGAAGAGAGTGAAGGTGATACACTGTTTGAAGGAGCCTGTGGTTTCTTTGTTATGCCTTTTGAAGATTTGAGTTTGAGATCAGAAGACACTGCTGATTTGAGTTTGAGTTCAGAAGAACTTGGCATCTTAGAACGGACTGACACGGAGCTCAGGTCACGTCCTTTCAGGGAAGATACTGGCAGCGCCACACCTGGCAGACGCACCTGCTTTCCTTTGCTCCTTGTAATCCCAACTGGAGTACTTGGTTTTGATTTTTCTTTCTGAAACATGCTAACTGCTGACATTGGATTCATCTCAGGAGGCTGAGGTGTTCTGGCAGGTGAGTCAGGTACACTTTCATTAGAAACTCCTTTTTGAAATGCTAGAATTTTTTGTTCTAGTGTAGCAAACTGTAATATTCGACAGGGGTCATATTTTAGCAAAAATCCTTGAAGAGTATCCCAGCCTCCACCAACGCGGACCATGACATGTTTTCCATGAAGCATCTTTCCCCCAAAAGAAAGTAAAAAACAAAGGTGTAAAACTGTAAGTATCCCAGTTACAATTCATTAGCAGTCAGTTTGTGATGTCTGTGATCTATGAAATTCAAGAGCATTTGCCAATTGCTTTATTGTAAATCGAGAGTCTCCTCCTTGTAGTATTAAAATAATAATTTAATACAATATTAAATCATGCAAATAAGAAAACAATATCCTCCAATTTTTAAGAAATATATTTACACACAACTTGGATCCTAAACAATGAAAATTACTAATATACAAAATTGCAAGGGCAATATTGTTCAAAAAAGAATTCTGTATTGAAGGAATAAAAGAGAGGAGGAGAAATGGAGAATTACAGAAAAAAATGCCACATAAAAACAAATCATTATGAAAGGAAGATAAAAATGACTAATACATGTACTTTATAATTTAATAAATTACTTTCATATGTATCAATTTGATCATTTAAATACTTTGATATAACTTATTACTAGTTCTTTGCAGATGACAAAATTATGGCTCTGAGAGATGAAGGAAATAGTCTCGAATCACGAAGCTTGGCCTCGCCTCAAACGTGCCAGGCTGCGCCGACCCAGATGGTGCTCCCGTGTGGGTAAGGCACATCCTGGGCCTGCCGGGGAGACCAGGCTGCACTTCTGCCCCACCCCACCCATTAAACAGGAAAGGCTGCACAACTGCATGAGACTGCCCTGAAAATCTGAACTCTAAACGCCAAGCTCTGTGAGCTATCACTACACAATATTGCTTCAAAAAGAAAGCAAATTTTTAAAAAGTGCACATAATGTTTCTGTGTGATTTGGGTAGGGTGTGGGGAGGTAATGACATTATATAAAACAAAAAACTAGAGGTTGAAATATTTTTAAATACTTTCATATTATATTCCTAAATTAGAAATAAAACAGCTCTAGTATCAGAAGTAGACAGAATGCTGAACAGGTGAAACTCCTCTCCCCTTATCACCAAAGGGGATCATCTATTGCAGGTTGCAGGGATGAAGAAAGGAAATAAGTATGTACATCAGCATTTTGTATATATACTGATGCTGTGTTCACGTAAAAAGGTTTTACACCTAAGACACAATGTATATATTACTATAAACTGCAGTCTTCTATTTCCTTTTCTTACTATGACATTTAATGTTATTAGATGTATTGTTTTGTGTTTTTCTTACTACAATGAAACATTATTTTTTAGAAAATTTGAAAAATGGAATAAGTTACCTGAAATATACAAAGATTTTTTTCTCCTGGTTATATTTGATTTCAAAATAGTGTTAGTTATTCTGTAGCTAGTTGTTTGTCATGTTAAAGGTGTTTACCTAAGTTTGTTACATATTCATAAAAGCAAGAATTCTGTATTTTTTCTGTAGAGTGAAATTGTTTCATTAGTAACTCCAATTTTTTAAAAAGTAAAAGGGGAGCAAAAGGATGTAGATAAAGCAATAAATCTAATTTCAAAACAAGACCATAAACAGAATATGAATGGGAGACTTACCCTTATAAACAGAGTATGAATGGGAGACTTACCCTTATAAACACAATATGAATGGGAGACTTACCCTTATAAACAGAGTATGAATGGGAGACTTACCCTTATAAACAGTATTTTGTCCCCTAGTCGGTACCGTCCTTCAGATAAGTATTCGATAGAAAATCGATGAGAACAACTACAAGGAGGGTCTTCAGCAATGTGCGTAACCTGAGATTAAAAATAAATAACAATTAGTGCTTGTGACAAAAGTATTCTGTTTAACATTAAAATGCAAGGTTATCTGATAGCTAGGAACATCAAACTCAAAGATAAAAAATTAAAGACAGTGCAACTTTTAATTCTCTTCTTCACTTGCTGAAAAATATTGAGATCATACATTACCTAATGCATTAGAACTTAACATTCACAAAATTTCTAGTTAAAAACTACAACTAGCAGTGATAAAGTCTTCAGTTTATGTGTCTTTCCTCAGTGCCGTCGGACTTGTAGTGCATTCACTGACCACTGGAGAAATTCTGTGAATGTGTACAATAGTAAAATTAATTCAAAACACATTCATTAAGCCACATTAATTCATTAAGTTTGAATTATTTTAAGCCCTGGATTAATGTACCTGTGTCAAATCAAAGATAGGGTCATTCAGCCCTGGCTGGGTGGTCCAGTGGGTTGGGACATCGCCCTGTACACCAAAAAACATTGTAGGTTCGATTCCTGGTCAGGGCACACACCTAGTTCCTGGGTTCCATCCCTGGAGGGGGTGCATATAGGAAGCAACTGATCTATGTTTCTCTCTCTTTCCCCAACTCCTTCTCTTCCTCCCTCCCTCCTTTTAAAACCAACTAACATATCCTTGGGTGAAGGTTAAAAAATAAAAATAAAAAAAGATAGAGCCAGTCAGATAAAGCTTATTTTAAAACTCTCATTTGTCCCTTAACACTGTGCTAACTTGATATTGTGAGGGAATATCTAGGTTTATTCCATAGTTAATGTTAAAATACACATAGACATTTATATCTATTCACCCAAGATTTGGTAAAATTCTACGAATTCCAGCCCAAGAGGCATTTTTCTAGAAGTGCTCACTTTGTTTCTACAGTCTGCTAAAGAGATGAAAGTCGGGGAGAAAACCCTACATCTACACCTCAAGAAGCTTAAAGAATTTTTAATTGCAGCAAGTATCTATGAAATGTAAAAACTAGAATATAAAAAATAAGTCCAGGAATTCTGTATTTAAAACATGGAAATTAAAATAAATTGGTTAAATGAAAATATCTATTGAGATATGCTTGACTGAAAAAAAGTCACATATAAATCACCAAGAAAAATATTTTGTTTTCCAAAATTTTATTTTTTTAAAAGCCATAAATATTCTTCTCAATTACCAGTCACACAGAGCATCAAAACAAATTCATTTAGTTGAATTTATGCATATTTTTTAAAGCCTCTTCAGGTATGCCCAGTTTAGCTGACTACTAATAGAAAATTAATGACTGTCTTAATTATCTACCCGAAATGAATGAACACATGTGGATTCACCAGGGCCTGACCAGACAGGCCCAGAATTTATCTGCCTATATCATTTGTTTAACAAAATAAAATGATCGTAAATAGAACTGAGTTTCATAAGCCACTCAATCAAATTTATCTGATTCATTGGCTGGATATATGAGTACATGTGCATACACATCCATACATACACATCCATAAAATGCCTGAAAATAAACTAGGCTTGGGCAAAGAATTTACAATTATTTGAACCATATGCACATTAGTTAACCAAAGTAATATTAAGAGAGGTATTTATTTTAATCACTACTTTGAATCCATAAAATTTTCATGTATACAGAATTGCAGTGGTATACTACTTCTCAACAATATTCTAAATAATGAATCAGATAATTGTTCCTTATTTTAAATATGACCCCAAGTTCTCTGTAGTTCACATGTGATAGGTAGACACTGAATATCTTGTAACAGAGAAATGTGCTCATTTTTAGTTTTCATAACAAGAATGCAGACAGGAGAAGACACTTATTCTCTTTGTTTGAAATATCCAAATATTGTTTATATTCAACAGTACAAATTAGCACCAACCCACTATCTAAATAAGGAGGGTGGGCCTAAAAGAAGTAAGTGCTACAGATAAAAAAGTGTTCTCTTCTGGTTTTACATATTGCATGCTTAACATTACAACACTAAAGGAACTAGCGAAAAGCATCTGCAAAGGCACTTCCCTGCTAGCATTTCCATTCTCCTCACTCTTATATAGCTTGTCTACATATACATACTTTACACAAAATAAACATTTTCTTATTGCTACATAGTCTTCAAAACTGTCACATAAAACGCCTACTCTGTGAAGATGAAGAATCCTAGCCTGACCAGCCATTGCCCTGCGTAAGAGGATTTACATTGCTCCCAATTTTTCGCCATTCTCCACAATAGTGTAACAAGCACTTTCACTCATGCTTTTTCTTCCCCTCTTCAATTACAATAAAAATGAGAGAGCAAAGTTTTTGTGGCTCTTGAAATCCATTTGTCAATTTGTTTTTCAAGCTCACATCATTTGCCATTGCCCATGGCAGTCCCTAAGTATAGTGTCACCAGAATCTACCAGCACTAGGTTCCATGACTTCCAAAAATTCTGCTAACAGGGCAAATTATATATCCGATTTCTTTGATTATCAGCAAATTTCAACACTGTATTTTCTTCTTGTGTGAACAAGTCTTTGCCCATTTATCTACTGGAAATGTTTTTCTTACCAAAGAGTATATGGCCTTTATATAATAGGGAAATTAGCACATCATATTTTCATAATAAAAAATATTTTACAAATGTTTCCTTTTTATTTAATTGTCATTATTTTAGGTTATATGAGATTTAAATAAGTTTTACTTTTACCTACTATATTATCTTTGCATCACATATTGATATTCATAGTCACCACACAAATCAATAATATAATGTATGTAAATACATTTTGACCTGATAAAATTGTTTAGGCTGATATTTTCTTAATCTGTCTTTCAAGCCTATCCAAATGTTTTACTATATACTTTTATTTTATCAAACAAAACAAAGCAACACTTTCTACATAATTATTAATATGTCTTATTTCTTAAATAATTTTGTATCATTAAGTACTTTCATACAATACTACAATCCAAAAAAAGACCAAGAAATCTAAGCAACAGCCTAAGCAGAAAAAATACTTGATACTTAAGTCCACCTCCATCACTTGTTATATTACAGAAACTGCAGAAGACCCATGACCTAACCAACTGCAGTTCTATCACCCGCTATGTAGTGATAATCGGGTAAATTAAGGAGACTTCCCGTCTGAGAGCCAAGTCTGCATCTGTCCTGCCAGGGGGAACACACTGGGAAACCCCAACAATCTACCCTCGTGACTCTGCTGCCGTCCATACGCCCTGAGTCTCAGTGTAGCCTTTGCTCAGACGCCTTAGTCATCCTCCCGGATTTTCTCCCTCCCCATCGGAACTGGTATTCCTGTCAGTTCTACTTTCTAAACATGTCTTACCCTTTTTCCTTGTGCTTTCTTCCCACTACTACTGCTTGAATTCAGGTTCTCATCATCTTGTGCCTGGATTATTAGCACAAAACCCATATAACTTCTATGTGACCATGAGAGTAATCCTTATAATTTTAAAAATCAGATTGTAACACTACTATGTTTAAAAAAAAAAGAATCAATGAATTCTCGTGGCCCATAGCACCCTTCGGGATGGACTGAGCTTTTTTTGCCCCAACATTCCTCAACTCCATTCCTCGCCACACACACATAACAAAAAGTCACCTTTATCATAGTGCCTTGAACTCACCAGGGAGTGAAAGTCAGTACTAGTGTATATTCTAAATAAGAAACATTTTCGTTCAAACATAGCATTGCTAGGCAGTCCAGGAGACTAACACATTGTGGTAAAAAATGCAGCAATTACTTACAGCTTCATGCAGCTCTTCGTGTTGACAGCATGATTTTGGGATGCTGATGGAATCTTCAGGCCCAGAAGTATTAAGTAAGGTCTCTTCTAGCTCAATTTCTTTCTCAAGTTTTACTAACACCGGTGGCTCAACCCCATATCTGATAACCAATTAGGAGACCTCATCATTCAAGTGAAGTAAAACTTACATATCACAATAGGTCATATTTTATTTTTAAATGAAATCTGTATGACTCTCTTCTTCCAGTTGTTTCACCGAGATATCTAGAATGCTTTTTAATGTCCCACATATTGCCAAAAATTCAGATTATAAACTTCACCTCAGAACATATATTTGCGTTACTGGATGCTCTCAATATTCAACCAAGGATTTGGAAAGGCACCTTAAAAATCAATGTGTGAATAAAGATGGGGCTGAGCCAGGCAGGGAGGACACAAAGTGTGGCCTTCATATCAGTTCCTCTTTGTGTCTCGAGGACTTGCCTTGCCTTGACCTGCTAAAAGACTACATGCTCTGTACTCTTCATCCCGAAACTGTAAGTTACCATTTTTACAGTTTAACATTAAACGAAGGCAAGTTATGTGAGCAAGCAGATGACTTGCTCATGCAAACAGAACAAAGTTAATAAACAGAAAGAAAAATAGAAAAAAAGAAGTTACTTTATTTCAATAAATTTTCTTTTACTTATAGAAAAGTGTTCTAGCTAAAATAAAATAGCTTAAAAATATTTATGGCATTGAAATTCTGAAATTGTGGAATACATACCTTGACACGATTCGACCAATTTCAAGAAGACAAAGATACACCTGTCTTGGATCTTTGTGCAAAACTGTGAAGAAAACAACATTTTATGAGGTAAAATTAAATAGAAAAATATATTTCTGGCATGAAAGAAGTACAAGAAAAGAATGAGGAAGACATCTCTCACTTGGAAACTTAGAAAAGACATTTTGTTTTCTCCGCACATTATTGTCATCCATAAATTTTAAAACAACGGCTAACAAGAAGAGGATGAAGACTTACATGCACCCTTATTTGTATAGCATTTTAAATCTAGAAAAACTAAAGGCTTAAGTAACATTAAATTATGTACAATTTAGATCCTCTCAACAGGAGATAGTATTTGAAGAAATATATCACCTCAATTTTATTCCAAAGTATCTTTGGTGTAGATCTATGTGTTAATAGTTTTCTTAACATCTTTCAAAATAACAGATGAGGGAGAACTCCTAACTCATTCTAAGAAGCCAATATTACAGGAGCAAAAAAAAAGACATCATAAGAAAACATAAAGACCTTTATGAATATAGGTATAAAAATCCTCAGTGCAATACTGGCACACTGAATCCAGAAGCCAATAGGATTTATCCCAGAATGCAAGGTTGAATCAACATATATAAATCAATCAATACACACCATATTAATAGAATAAAGGAAAAGAAATACACAATTATCTCAGTAGACATGGAAGAAACATTTGACAAAATCAAAGGCATTTTCATGATAAAAGATTCAAAAAGTTAGAAACAGATGGAACTGTGTAAATATAAAAACAGACACACATATAAAATCTGCAACTATGATCATTCTCAATGGTGAAAGACTGCAAGTCTTCCTCTTAAGACCAGGGAGAAGATAAAAATGTCCATTTTCACTATTTCTATTCAACACTGTACTGCAGGTTCCAGCCAGGGAATTTAGACAAAACAAATAAATAAAAGGCATCCAGACTGAAAAAGAAAGGAAACTATCTCCACTCTCTGACTGCAGGGATCCTTAGTATTAAAAATCCCTAAATAATTCACAAAAAATAACTATTATAGCTAACAAGCAAGTTCAGCAAAATTGTATGTTATAAGATCAATACATAAAAATCATTGCATTTTAAACACTAGCATCAATAATCTAAAAATGCAATTAAGAAAATAATGCCATTTACAATAGCTTCAAGAAGAATAAACTACTTAAGAATAAATTTAACCAAAGTAGTGTAAGACTTCTACACTGGAAACTAAAAACATTGTTGAATGAAATTAAAGAAGATATAAATTAAATAGAAAGATCCTGTATGTCAGGATTGACAGACATAATGTTGTTAGGATGGCAGTATCCTCCAAACTGACCAATCTGTAGATTCAGTACAGTATCTATCAATTCCTTTTCTTCCAAAAGTGGACTGGCTAATGACAAAATTTGCATGTAATTATAAGAGACATGAAATTGCCAAAATAATTTGAAAAAGAACAAAGTTGGAAGACCCAGGCTTCCCAATTTCAAAACTTACTATGAAGCTGTACTAATCAAAACAGTGTGTTACTGGCATGAAAATAGCAATATAGACCAATGGAATGGAATTGAGCACCCAGAAATAAATCTATACGTTTATGTTCGGCTGAATTTTAACCAAGGGAACTAAGACAACTCAATAGGGGAAAAATAGGTTTGCAACAAATGGTGCTAGGAAAGCTGAATATCTACATGCAAAATAATGAATTGAGACCCCCAACTTCATACCATATACAAAAATAACTCAAAATGGATCAAAGACCTAAATGTAAGAGCTAAAACTGCAAAACTCTTAGAAGGAATCACAGGTGAAGAGCTAAAATTATAAAAGTCTTACAAGGAAACTTGGATTAGGCAATGGTTTTTTTAGATACGGCACCAAAAGCACAAATAATCAAAGAAAAAATAATTGAATTTCATCAAAATTGAAAACTTTGGACATTAGGACGTTATAAAGCAACAAAGGACATTATAAAGAAAGTGAAAAGACAACCCAAAGACTGGTATCTACAATAAAGAATTCTTACAAGTCAACAAAACAAGACGAATGACTCCTAGAAGTGAGCAAAAGATGTGAACAGACATTTCTCCAAAGATACACAAATGGCCAATAAAACCATGAAGAGATGCTCAATATCATTAGCCATCAGGGAAATGCAAATCAAAACCTCAGTGAGATACCACTTCACACCCCCTAGGATGTGAGAAGGAGGAGGAAAAGGAGGGGTGGGGAAAGAGGAGGAACAGCACAGAGAGGAGAAAGAGGACGGAGAAGGAAAAGGAAAATAAGTACACCAACAACAAGGCAGAAGGAGGAAGAAAAATAACAAGTGTTGGGGCAAAGGTTAAGAAATCGGAACCTTCGTGCATGCCAGTGGGAATATAAAAGGTACGGCCACTGTGAACAATCGGGTGATTCCTCGAAAAGATAAACAGAGAGTTATTGTATGACCCAACAGTTCTACTCCCAAGTGTGTCTCTGAGAGGATTTAAAACAAATGTTTACGCAAAAACTTGTATGTAAATATTCACAGCAACATTATTCATCATAACCAAAAAGTATTAATAGAAACAACCAAAATGTCCATTAGCTGATAATGAATTTTTAAAATGTGGCCTATCCATACAATGGAATATCATTCAGCCATAAAAAGAAATGAAGTACATACTGTTACATGCTACAACATAAATAATCATTGTGCTAAACAAAGAAGCTAGACACAGAAGGCCACATATTGTATGATTCCATGTCTATGAAACACCCAGAATATGCAAATCCATAGAGAAAAAGTACAGTAGTTGCCAGGGGATGAAGGTGGGGAGTACATAATTGGGCCTAACTGCTGACAGGTATGGGTTTTCTTCTGAGACTGATGGAGTTAATTAGTGGTGATGGTTGCACAACACAGTGAACATATAAAAAACACACTGAAGGGTACATTTTTCAATGATGAATTTTACAATGATGAACTTTATGTTACATGAAGTATATCTTAATATTTTTCATGCTATAAAAATCTCATATGCTTAAAAATGGTTATAATGGTACATTTGGCTTTGCATATTTTATCACAATTAAAAATTTTTTACATTAAAAAGAAACCCAAATGTTAAGCCTAACAGTTCAAACAGAGATCCTTAAAAAAATAAAACAAAGCAAAACAAAAACCCTGATGATTAGAACTCATGCTAAATGCACCAATACGGTAGCCGTGGATCAACTGACTTCCTTTCCCTGTCTTCAGAGTTAAAAGCTCTAGGCTAAACTCCTGAAACCTAATACAATAATGGTTTTTGTGTGATAAGCTGTATATATACTGATTCCTTGAATGGAAATGACAGTTGTTTTTTGATTTATCAGTAACATCTATTATATACCCCCAGCATGAAGCAATAAAAAGGCCTATGTTTAACTTTAAGATTCATACCAAAAGGAATTTATCCCAAAATTTTTATTAAACTTGTTTCTCTGAACACTCAGACATACCCTTAAATATAGTATCAACTTTTTATAATTGGTTTTAAGTTCCTAGCACAATGTAAAAAATGAAGAGTCTCATCTGAGATCTTTAGAAAGTATAAACATTAGCTCATCAGCTCAATGCCTAGAAATGAACTAGTTATTGGCAGTACTTTATTTAATCTTATACTGACTGTCAGAACAGTTGGAAAATGCCTCCTATTGAGAATGAGAAGTATACAACAATCTTATATCCTTTCAGAAATAATAAACTGGAAACTAGAGAAGTTAAAGCATTTCCATTCCCCTTTGATTTCTTGAAGCGGTGTATGCCATTAAATCAATCACACTGTCAATAATAATCAGCACACCTGGATTAAAGCAGAGTGCAACCTGGAGGTAAAACATCAATCAGCTGCATTTCATCTTTTATGGTATAGTGGATAGGAACATCAGAGGCATACTAAATGGGAAGCAGTGGGGGCAGCCTGCCCAAGTGCAGGCAACAAGGGCATGCAATGTCAGTCAAGTATTTCAAAACAGTAATAAAACCAACTAAAAGTCAGTTTGCTTTCTATTATCACCATGAACCAGCAATTCTACACAATGTGATAAAATACTTTTCTCTACCAGGGCAGACTACTATTCCCATGACCCACCCTTGGGATACTACTGCTCCTATCAAAACATTATAAATTCTGTACGTGTGTGTGGTATAATATAGATAAAGAAATAACTCTCTCTATATATAGCAATATAAACACAAGCATATACATAAATACACAAAGCATATATATATGCTTTGAGGAAATATATATTATAGACTAAAACTTAGATAGCTTCCACTTTAGTCGCTGCACAGAGAGTAGTATGTCAATAATTCTTCAGTAGAGCATGACTTTGTCAAGTGAATAGTCAAAAACATTAACCCATTTAGATAATAAAGTTGGCAGCTGCTGCTTACATGGTGAATCTAACATCACAAACATACATCATTTAGCCTTCTGTTATTTCTACAATTATCTAGTTAAATAGAGTAATTCTTGATGAAAACATTAATTAGTAAAGCATTCATCCAGAAACTTCCTCCAGCCAACTCATTTAGAAAGTAAAATATTTCTAGGGCATTCTGGATATTTAAGATCTTTAATAATAAATGAAAAGCTTAATATTCTTGATTTAGAATCAAATTCTCTAATCCTTTGATATATTTAAAGTATACATTTTTCTAGGAGAATAAGATGTGGCATTTGAGTCCGTATTTGGAAAGAAAAATCAAAAGTGAGGCATTAAAGAAATAATATAATAGACAATGAACACAATAGTGATGACAACACTTACCCAAACCTTCAGATTCAAAGAGATACGTCTCATCAACCCCAATGTGCCTACACCAGTGAAGGAAGTTTGCAGTATTGTCTCGAGCAAAGAATGAACCTGAGGCGGCATCTTTCTTACAGGGCACTTTTCTCATTGGAAAATTCTGGAAGAGACAGAAGAGTAATTTCAAAAATGCATTAAGGATATTTTCATTAGATACCCATTTTAATATCGCTAAACAAATGTCCAGTGCACTGAATGCAAGTAATAAGTATATGACATTAGAGTAAACAGGTATCTCCAAAATTATTTTACTTGAAATTATTTTATTTTGCGCTCCTTTAAGTATATTTCAGAAACAGTTTGGTTAAAATTAGCAGTAGGATCAAGAATTTCTAACCTTTTTCTTTCTGAAATGACAAAAGAATCACTTAAATTTAAAATAAATTACATTTAAATTTAAAAATTACAGTCTAATACTTCCAAAGTACATCTCTATGTCTCTCCATACATAGTTCACTACACAGAATTACTGCCTTGTAAAAGATTAACAGACGCACTCATGTCTGCTTACTTCCTTATTTGCAGATTTATAAATATGGTTCTGAGTTTCCTAAGGAGACTATCAAATAAGGAAGTAGGAACCCATTCTTAATTCAAACAGAATCCTAGTTTTTTTTACTATTTTTGAAAACTTTTTTTCATTGTTGTTCAAGTACAGTTGTCTCCATGTTCCCCCCACAACTCCCCCCAACCCCAGCCATCCCCACTTTTCACCCTTGATCCTAACCCCCTTTGGTTTAGTTCATGTGTCCTTTATAGAAGTTCCTGAAACCCTTCCCTTTCCTCCCCCCTATTATCTCCTCCCACCTCCCTTCTGATTACTGTCAGTTTGTTCTTAATTTCAATGTCTCTGGTTATATTCTAAGCCAAAAAGTATTTAGATAATACTGCTGAGGTTGGAAGGTCTTTTGTTTTATTTTAGTTTAAATTTTTACTGGATTAAGCAACTCATGTACGTAATTTTTAAAAACGCAATAGGCATAGTAAATACCAGTCTCCCTCCTACCTCCAACCCTCAGTTCCTTTATCTCTCTAGAGGTAACCACTATTACCAGTTCCTTATATATCCTTCCTGTTGCTATTCTTTTCCAGAATTAAAATAGTCTTGTGAGTTTTTCTAATGTATACAGAATATATGACCATGTTCCCCCCAATAAATATCAAACAATACAGCCAAATACAAATGTGGTTAGTATCAACTAAATCCTCTCACCTACATTTTAGCAAGACATCTCTAGGCACAAATATACACTTGGAAGATATCTGTGTGCCTACAGAATAGTAAACAAACACACTATTCTGCAATCTGATTTGTGTGTGTATGTGCTTATGCAAACTATTTTTTCCCTTTTTATTGAATTTACTGGGGTGACAATGGTTAACAAAATTATACAGGTATCCAGAGCACAATTCTATAACACATCATTTGTACACTGTATTGTGTGTTCGCCACTGCAAGTTGTGTTCATGCACACTTGACAGTAGGTTGTAGGCATCTGTCAGGGTAAAAAAAGAACAGATTGAAAGAGTCATTTCTCATAAATGAATGGATAATATTCCTCTGTGTTCAGGTACCATAATTAAAATTGAACCAATTTCTATCTCTTGATGAGCATTTAAGTTGTTCCTAATTTTTTGCACAGTTGTTGGGGACCACTCTGTCTGGTTTCAGGAACTGTAACTACCTCCCATGGCTAAGGATGAGCAAGTGACTTCCAGAATGTGAGCCACAGGAGACAAAACTTGTCTCTGGTAGCAAATGCTGCCTCAGTTTCCTCTCCCTGCCCCCAAAGCATGGTCAGAAGTCAATAATGGGTAAGACCCTCATAGCTGGGGGCAACCTAAGCCAGACTCGATCACTTGGGAGGCCATGATGGAAGGACTGGTGGGGGGGGGCAGGCTGCAACAAGGAGTGAGCGATAGACCTGTGCCCCCCAGCTATGTGACAAAGCCCGAGTCCCTATGCCCTCTGGGAGAAGCGCTTCCTGGCTCTAATCCACTTAAGCCTGAATACCTGATGGGGAGGGGTGCAGCTCCTTGCCTTGCCAGAGTGGGGGGGGGGGGGCAATCTGGCATCACAAAGAGTTCCTCAAAAACCTGTGAAACCTGCTCTGCTAAGAGTGTTTTCATTCATATGTTAAGGATCCAAGTGGGAAACCCTAAAAGTTTCTGCAAAACTCCCTTTTTGATAGACTCTGACTCAGACTAAGCCCTCAGATTTCTTTGAAATGTTATCTACTGTTTAATCCTTGCCCCAAGCTGTATTGTGTGTATTACAACCCAATAAAGCTCCTGGAGGAAGGGGCTCGAAGCCCTTCCCTTTTGAGGGACCGGCCACCTCCCCTCCTCGACCAGACGTCTTGGTAGTGTTTACTTTCATCCGTGGCAGACGGAGGAACTTGCGTGAAAAGTCACCCCCACACAAGGTTATTTTTGTGAATTTGCTGTTTCCTTAGAACAAAGTCCTAAAAGTAGAATTACATTATGTATCACAGGAGGTGCTTTATTTTCTTTTATTTTACTTTTCAATTACAGTTCACATTCAATATTATTTTGTATGAGTTTCAGGTGTACAGCACCCTGGTTAGACAATCACATATTCTGAAATATCAGTTCCCCCTGGTATTTCCAGTACCCAACTGGCAACACACACAGTTATTACAATATGACTGACTAGATTCCCTATGCTATACTTTACATTCCCATGATTCTTTTCTAATGATCAATTTGTACTTCTTAATTCCTTCACATTTTTTGACGTGCTTTATTTTCAATGTGAGATACGTGTGTATAAATATGTCCCCACTGTTCCCCAGAAAGGTGATGTCACTTTATACTTCACCAGCAGTGTGAGTGTCGAGACCCCACGTGAAAACACCCATGTTTGATGAAAAGAGAGAGCACCTTATCTACTTCAAATCATAACTTGAGAGTCAACAGAGAAAAACTGGCTAAAAAAATATTATTCATTCAACTGATATTTATAGAATTTACTCACCAATCTGAAATATGAAGAATGAAAAGATGATACTAGCTACTAACTATGTACCAGGAGCCACCACAAGCTCTTTTCTCATTTAACTCTCACGACAACCTAGTATTTCTGTTCTCAAGAAGAGCTACCTGCTGGATATTTACTACACACTGGACACTAACTTAAACACCATCTGCAGATTAGCTCATTTAATTTTGCTGAATCCTTGCAAATAAATTCTACAAAATAAATGTTAGTATCTCCACTTCACAAGTAAGAACAGTTTTATAGACTCTCAAAAAGACTAAGTAAATTATCCAAGGTCTTACAGATAGTCAGGGTGGAAGTTTATAATCTTGCAGAGATACTAAGAAATGTACATAAACAAATCAGTATGCGCCAAGGAATAAAATCACCACTGTCCTGCATCTACTTACCCCTGGTTCCTCAGAGCTGCCTGTTTTCACCATGTGTTGAAGAACGTCAATCAGCTGGCATAATAGTACTCCATTGTCCAGTTCTTCCAATAATCTTTCTGCCTTAACTTCAATACCTAAAAGCATGTTTCAAAGTTAAGATTCTTCTAGAAACAGTAAATTCAAACACTCCAGTTAAAATTTAATTAGATGTAATTAGATTAGGGCTGACATACTAGACAAATATTAGATCAGGCCACAATTATTCACTCTTGGAAGGTACAGTAAACAGCAGAGAATGTCAAGTTAAAAAATGACAACTGAAACCAAAATGTCTGCGACACAGAAGTACACAAGAAAAAAAAAAGAAAATTGACATGTCTTTTATTCCATTTTAAAAAGACCAAAGTGTTTTGTATTTCAATATTGACTATTAAGGTTAAGTTTTGACTCACTGCACATTACTGCTGCTTACACAAGAGAAAGAACGTTCCTCTATAAACAAGATGGGCTCTGATGCAACTTAAAAACTAAAGACAGTAACAGGACAAACCCCCAGGGAATACTAACTTTTCATTTCTAAAATGCCTTCTATAAAAGCTTTATTATTTAATAAACCTTTAAAAAATTTCTAAATCATACAGATACTAGATATCTGAAGTGAGTGTTTGCTATTTTTAATTATCTTGGGAAGGCAATAGATGAGGTTTATGCATTCCTTCTCACAAAAACCTTGCAATGTTATGTGAAATTGTATATTAAAAGGAGATTTTCTTCCTGCAAAGAAAGTTCAGAGCACTTATATTCTTTTTAAAAAATTTTATTTATTAGTTTTTAAGAGTGTGGGGAAAAGAGGGAGAGAAACATCGCCTGGTCGCCTCTCACACATGCCCCAACTGGGGACGGCGCCTGCAACCCAGGCATCAGCCCTGACAGGGGAATCAATTTCGCTTTGTGGGATGATGCCCACTCACCTGAGCCACACCTGTGAGGGCACTTCTCATACCCTTTAACTGAGTAAATAAAGCAACGTGACACCAGACATTCGCCATCCAACCTGACATTTTCTCCTAGGTTTCATATGCCTGTACCTCTCAATGCCTTAGAAAGAATAATCACTTTAATTGCAGTACGAATACTACTCAAAATCTCATGCCTAATACAAGATTAAGGGGGGAAAATCAGTAAAATACAGACTCCAAAATTGGACCTATGTACTTAAAAGAAGATTTTAACATTTACGCTGAAAATTTTGACTACTCAAAGTTTACTGACCTCTTCTGTTAAACCTCAAACTTCATTACTATTCAAGCCCTAGGGGTCAGGGTGAAACGAAGTATCTCCCTGACTAGAGCATAAGCTTTGTGAGAACAAGGACACAGAACACATCATTCACTAGAGTATCCCCCAGCCTCTAGGACAATCACTCCTTGACAAAGAGTAAGGTTCTCAGTAAATATTTACTGAATCAGAGAACACAATTTTGAGTATCTTTTCAAGTCTTACCTAACAAACCAGACAACCAGATGGACAGGTCTTCTTGCATGGGCAGCAGGGTGGCTTTGTGCCTCACAGCTATCCACTCGTCATACTGATAAACATCAGCCAAACCCGGCCCATGTCTGGGGGTCAGAGGGCCCCGTGGACTCAGAGGCGGGTCTTCTCCAAACCATACCTGGAGAAAATACCAGCCACATGAATGGATGTGACCTTGTGAAGTGAGCAGAACCTGTGTCCATATTTAAATGATGAATTACAGACCACATATAATACGACACATATAAAACTGCAGCAGCTCACAGAAAGTATATAATCTAGAAGCAAACTAGTAGTCAAGATACTTGAGTCATTTTCAATATTCCATATCTTGGTAAATGTAAGTGAACCTCGAATTAATGAATGGATCCTATTATCCAGCCAAGGGGATAAAAATCAACAAGTTATATTTTATTTCACTTATTTTACTAATTATTATAATTTTATTATACTAATCTCATAAAAACATTTTTCCAAGAAAAACACTTACTTGAATTGCAGGCTGCATGGTCATCAATATTGAAATGAAATTAATTTCCTGAAAACAGAACAAAACATTAATGTGCAGACAATGGCAGCTCTCCTACTCCCCCAAGCCCTCAAAGTAAAACAGTTACAAGGACACTGTTTTACTCTACACTTGACTGAAAACCTAAAACTTTTTCTTCTAATTAGAGTTATTTGACTATATGAGAATTCAATAACTGCTCCCAGCTTCTTCCTAAAAGTATTCTTCATTTGAAACAGGACTATGTGAAACACATTTCCATATCTAGTTGCTGGCACTAGTATCAAAAGGATTCTTTTATTTTCTTCTCCCCTAACACAGAAAAATGATGCGAGGGAGGAAACGGTGCGCTGTGGCTCAGAAGTCCCGGTGCGCTCTCTAGCGCGCTTTCTCCCTCTCTCTCTTCAGTCTAGTAATCTACCAAAAAAGAAAACGCTGTGTGGTGGGAACTCTCACTAACTATATGACGGCAAGCAAACCAGTTCTTGAAACATCTGGCTTCAAAGTAATTCTTGAAGCTTCTGGTTAGTTAAATAAAATTAGCAATAAAACTTCCAAGTAACAGTTTCCCAGAATCTGCCCCCTATAAACGTAATGTAACGTAAATACATATGTCACAGCAACAGATACTAAAAGGCAAGTATCTCTCACCTGATGTTTACATGGAGGTCATCAAAGTTCATCTGGACTTTGCATAAACTCACAAGCCACCCATGAGCTTCTTTTGCCAGACAACAAGGTAAAAGACATAAACATCAATTGTGACTATGAAACAACACTCCGTGCCTTTCTATAATAATTTTTCATAAGTTTATTTTCTCCATGAGGTGCTAAAGACAAAAAAGAAAGGGCATAATTTAGCTCCAAAGTACTCTTCTTGAAAATCTACAAGACAACCACAACTTTAATTAAGTTAGGTTAATACAATTCTTTAATGCATTTTCAGAAGGAAAAAAAGTGAAGAGTTTAAAAACACTCAGAATAACTAGACTATATAAAACCTAGGGTTTTTAATTGCTTACAGCAGCATTATATACCAGTTTTTTATTGCAAACCACTATTTAAAAATTCTAAGAAAAAAATCTAGAACAGTTTGCACGGCTGTAATGCTATCAATTTCCAAGGAAAAGTTATTTTCTCCTCTTAGTTACAGCAGACATACCTCGTGCACTGTGGCCAACTACACACACCACCTTCCTTTCAGGAACATTTCTTCTAGTACTAAAGTTGAATTTGAGCTAGACCTAACTGAAAAGTCTAATATTATATCACTTTTTTTTTGTGGAAAAGCAAAGGATAGCAGAATGTCCTTTTTGATATCATTTTCTCTCTCCCTCTCTCTACCATAGTGAAAGGGCAAAGTACAACTGAGTATTACTAATGAGCTTGTTATGCTTCCCACGAGCTAAATCAGTGGGGAATACATTTTCCTTTAGCATAAATAATCCTTTGTCCCCAACAAAGATCCACAGTAAGAAGCTTCCGAGTCCATTTTTTCAAAATGCAGCAAAGAAGTTGCTCCCATTAACATAAGCAGTTCCACATAATCAGACAAGAGCTTTAACAGTTGGAACTTCCAACCCAAAACAAAAGAAGGCCTAAATTATAAACCATGTGCAAATCAAGAACAGTGACACTTTCACAAAGGAACTATCACAAGAATGTTTGGTAGTGGCATTTTTCATGGAAAATTCTGCAAAATAGTTTTTATGAAAGAATTTGTGCACAACCTTCAGTCGGTTGAACTTTAGCAGAAAGTTTTTTGAATCACGCCTCTTGTATAATGGAAAAAAGGACTTTTATGATGACAAAAAGAAAACCACCTGGGTTACCTTTAAAAAGAAAGTCTTTAATAAAGCACTCAGAAAAGTACTCACGTAAAGTTGTAACATACACCCATATATTAAAAAAACTATCAGCCCTGGCTGGTGTAGCTCAGTGGATTGAGCGCGGGCCTGTGAAGCAAGGGTCACCGGCTTGATTCCCAGTCAGGCACATGCCTGGGTTGCAGGCCAGGTCCCCAGTAGGGGGCACACGAGAGGCAACCATACGATGTTTCTCTCCCGCTCTTTCTCCTTTCCTTCCCCTCTCTCTAAAAATAAATAAAATATTTTTTAAAAAACTATCATGTACACAAATATATGCTTTTACAAACTGATGAGATTTTATCAGTGAATCATTGATTAATTAATTTACGAGTACTCTTCATGTCCCAGATACTAAGAGCCAGTTATTGATATTTTCTAGTTATTCACTCTTTGCTTTATAAACCATTTTTGGGTCTCAGGCATTTAATCCCAAGAGCAGCATCGTTTCTGCGGTTGGCCCAGTTCTCATCTTCACCACAATCACAATTCCTGACTGCTTCTCACTCATTTTATTACCTGTCTTCCTCTTTCCTATCTTCCCTGAAAGTCTTGATCTCTACTTTCTCCCATAAACCAATCACAAAACTTCCTTTTTGAAGCTACATCATAATGAACAACTTAACAGCTTTATTTTGTTTCTGTTTTTGTTTCTTTCCTTGTCTCTTTGGAGAAGTCTCCTACAAGTTGTTGCCACTTCGAGGACGTCTTTTCCCTTAGCTGTGGCTGTAAAAAAAAAAAAATAGACCTCTCATGTGACCAAGTCCAGACTCCGCCTATACTTTGACCTTGCTGGGAATCTCTCACAAGACATGGAGCATCCACAGACCACATAAATGAAGACAACTACACTTAATTTTTAAACCTGGAGGAAATTAGAAACACAGAATGTGCTCATCCACCTGAAACTCAAACTAGATTTAGGCCTAACCCACTCGTTTTACTAAGTTTCAGTCACGAGGTCCTCAAGATTATTTATGGTAGGTTCTTTGTACCCATTTGACTTCAGATCATGATGGCGGAAAATGCCAACCCATCGATCCTTTGTCTCGTAGTTGTGGGCTCTGAGACACATTTATGAGCACATCTTTATTCCCCACCCACATTATAAGTATGGTGGGATGACCAGGCCCTGGTGCAAGTGAGGGGCGGTCATTTTTTTTTATTGGCGAAAAAATAAAAAGCAGACATAAGCTAAGTTACTTCAGAAAAACAATAACATTAACAGCACTGCAACGTGTAAATTCAGCACTCAGGTACCAGACTGTTGCCAAGATACGTAAGCTGCAGGGGTATGATAAATTGCCAACGCTCGGAGAGGAGTTACTATAGAGGAAAAGGAGGAAGGTGAGGCTGGGGAGGGATGCACAGAGGCCTTTCAACAGTGCTGGTGAAATTTTATTTCAAGATAAGTGGTGAGAACACAGGTGTTATGATATGCCTTTCTGAATGTCAAAAACATGTTATCACTTTTTAATGCTTTATTTACTAAAACAGTTGAAGAAGAGAGCCTCCCTGATTTGTTCAGGAAAATAAACAACTTTAAATGTTAAATATTTCCCAATTGCCTAGTAGAGAAAATAGAAATGTTATACTCATACCAAACATATTTCATATTTTATGCATATTAAAATAACTCACCATAAAGACACTGCTGCAGTAGCAGAAAGTAGCAGAAACCTCTGGTGTGAATTGTAGCTATACGACCTTGGAATAATTAACTTCTCTGAGCCTCAGTGTTCTCACTTATAAAATGGGATGTCACCCCCTCCTTTGTATGGCTGTTGTAATGATGAAATGAGATGATACAAGAAAAGTACCTGACACGTAGCTAGCACTTCACAAATGAGTTGTAATGATTCATGCTATGATGAGACATAATTATAATAAACGTATTATAATTTAGCAAATGAAAGAGATAAGAAAACAAGGCAACTAATACTCAGAAATCATTAAATGTAATTTGGAAAGCTTCTTTTACTAACATAAAAATAAAGATGGTAACGAATAAAGATAAAAGCTTTAAAATATCCACATCATAATTGGGAGTATACTGAAATATGAATCTGTGACTTATAACTGTCTTGCTAGAATAAAAGTATTCAGCAATTCATGTAACAAACGTGTTTTGCTCCATTCAGCCTTCCTCCTCACTGTCCTCCCTCCCTATCAGTTTTGCTCATTTCTGTGGCCCTATCACTATTCAGAATGTATGTGTTGGGAACCGCTCTGCCTGGTTTCAGGAGTTGTAACTGTCTCCCATGGCTAAGGATGAGTGAGCGACCTCTGGAATGTGAGCCACAAGGAGACAAAGCTTGTCTCTGGTAGCAAATGCTACCTCTGCTTACTCCCCTGCCCCCAAAGCATGGTCAGAAGTCAATGATGGGTAAGACCCCTCACAGTGGGGGGCCACCTAAGCCAGACTCCATCACTTGGGAGGCCATCGTGGAAGGACTGGGGGGGAATGCAACAAAGAGGGAGTGATGGACCCTCACCCACACCCCCCCCCCCCAGCTATTCTGACATAGCCTGAGTCCCCATGTCCTCTGGGAGAAGCGCTTCCTGGCTCGAATCCACTTAAGCCTGAAAACCTGTGATGGGGGAGGCGGTGCAGCCTCTTGCTGAATAGAGCGGGATCCAGGGTGATCTGGCATCAGAAAGAGTTCCTGAAAGTCTGTGAAGCCTGCTCTGCTAAGAGTGCTTTCATTCATACGATAAGGGTCCAAGCAGGAAATGAGTATGTCTCCCAAAGTTTCTGCAACCCCCCTTTCCAGACAGACACTGACTCAGACTAAGCCCTCAGATTTCTTTAAAATGTTATCTACTGTTTGATCCTTGCCACCTGTATTCCTGTGTATTTCAACCCTATAAACGCCATTGAGGAAGGGGCTCTTGGCCTTCTTCCTCTGAGAAATTGGCCACCTCTCCTCCCCAAGCAGTTCATGTCTTTGTAGTGTTACTTTCATCTGGGGCGGACGAGGCAACCTGTGGGCAAAGTTGTCCCCACATGTATTCTTTTCCATACATGGGGTACACTCATTCATTTATTCAACAAGCATTTACTCACACCTTTTATAAAAGCAGGCATGCTGGGAAGAGACACAGTGATATGCATACCAGACATGTGACTGCCCTTACGGAGCTAGTAGTGAATACACAAATAAATATGCAATGTTAAATCATGATCATTGCTTTGAAGGAAGAACATCAGGGGCCTACTTTAGACTCAGATTGAGTGGTTAGAAATGGTTTTACTGGAGGAAAAACATGAATTTGAAGAATGGTAGAAATTAGCCAGAGAGAGAAAGAAGGAAGAGTTTTATGCATACAGCATCATTTTTGTAAAGACTCCCAAAAAAGAAAGAGTTTGGTGCATGCCGAGAACTAAAAGAGGCCAGTATGGCCTAAGCATGGAGAATATGTGACTCGGGACAGACGTGAAAAGTTAGACATCAGTCCCACCACACAAGGCCATGCTGAGGAAACTACATTTTATTCTAAGTGCCACAGGGAAGTCATGGAAGAGTTTTAACCACGAGAGAAACATAATCTAATTCATAGTTTTAAAAGAGCTCTCTCAGGGGTACAGAGAAACATGGGAGTGAAATACTGACAGGTTTAACAGTTAAAAGGGAGAAGAAACTGAAGAAGGGGTGGATGGAGATGTGCGGAAAAGAACCAGGAAAAACAATGAGAGAAGGAAAAGAGAGGGGTACAAACAGAGAGAGCCAGGGAAACAGCAGAGAGGAAATGAGACGGACGGAAGCCTGGAAGGGGGAGAGTTAGGGATCCTGCAGTCCAGTGACAGAGGATGGTGACTAAGTGAGAATGCTGACGGTGTCTCCACTGGAGAGGAGGGGTGGGTTTGAGATCTATTCTGGAGTTAGAAGCAAGACTTGGCCATGGTTAGAGATGGATAGGCGAAGAACAGGGACGTAAGGGCTGAGTGAAGTGTCCAGAATGAC